TGCATTTCTGAAACCCCCTGTACCAACCCTCCCTCCTAAAGCTTTGAAGGCTCCAAGTAATTAGGACACAGATACAAAACACACATGATCAATAACAACATAGGTACATCTTTCTGTAAAAGACCTCAGTGTTACATATATACAAAGGCCCCAGCGCACTGAGGCTAGGTGCCCACTCTTCCATACCCTCAGAGGGAATGACCTACAGAGCACACGAAAAGGGAAGGACAGACTGTTCGTTTAAAGAGGGAAGGGAGGCCGAAGGGCCTCTGATACTCGCGCACAGGTCCTCACCTGCTCAAATTCGTATTTCAGTTCCTGCTCTTGTACCCTAAGGACATCGCGTAAGTGATCAGTGTGGGCAGCAGCCTGTCGGCGAAGCTGGGTTCTCATTTCATTCTCCATGGCATCTCTGACTTCCTCTACCTGTGAAACCACAGGAATGATTAGTTCTTAATTCTCCACATTTGCTTTTAGAAAGAAAGACTAGTAGCAAGGATGACAGCAGCTTCCGTGTCCTGAGCTGCTCTGATGTGCCACACACGTAGACACGTTCCTAACGTCTCTTACATCCATCAGAAAGCTGAACGTTGGAAGGTGACTCAAAAACAATGTCACACAGCTGTGGCAAAAATCAGATTTCAAATGGTGTCTCTCTGGCCCCCAATTCGGTTTCTCCCGTATCACCGGGCTGTATCTTATGTAAGGCGAACACTATCGTTTCCTGAATCACACACTCACGTGACAATTAACAAATCCCAACTCCTGGAAAAAAACTACAACTTGGGATCAAACACAGCTTCACCACAACCATCTGTGTGATCTAGGAGTAATGCCTATTGTAAAGAACTATGAAATAGAAAATAAATATCTGGCAGTTACTTTATACAATTTCTTCTAAACAAAGAAAACTGCTCTGAAACTGAATTTAAATTCACAACACAGCCCAGATCTAACCAAAAATATGAAAAGGCTAGCACATCTTGCTAACAATTAGCCATGGGTCATATTACAAATTATTTAATACTAAGTACCTGGATATCATAACTTACTTTCTCTCAGAAATAACAGAAGTAATGAATAAACCCATTCAGTCAATGCATACGTATTTATGAAGTGCCAATCCTGTGCCCGGCAGTGCCTACTATATGTTTGGATGCAATGGTGGCTCAAGGCACACTAACTTTTTGTTCTCATACCATGTACAATTCAAGGGAGGGATCGGACAGTAAATAAATCGGACATCTCAGACTGTGAGAGAAAGTTAGAGACTCTGCACTGAAAGAACAGGAAAAGCCTTGCTGAGGTGACATCCAAGCTTAGAACTAAGGTTTAAAGAGAAGCGTAACAATGTACGAGGCAGAGCAAACACCCCAAGGCAGAATAAGTAGTGAAGGTACAAAACCAAACAAAAAACCAGGGCACCTGGCAAATACAGGCAATAAGGGAATTAAGGGAAGTCTGGCTCACAGCAAACAGGAATGAGATCAAGAGAACTTTTAGGTATGGGGTAAGAATTTGGATTTTATATTAAATGCAGTGGGCCATCAGTGCAAGGTTTTCAGCAGCCTAGTGTCTGATCAGAATGGGTTTTAGGAGGACCAAGTGCCATGTAAATAAACATAGAAAGATGGGTATGAAAACAGGGAACCTGGGGGCGCCTGGGTGGCACAGCTGGTTGAGCAGCCAACTCTTGGTTTCGGCTCAGGTCATGATCTTAGGGTCCTGGGGTCAAGCCCCACCTTGGGCTCCGTGCTCGGCAAGGAGTCTGCTTGAGGATTCTCTCTCTCCCTCTTCCCCTCCCCAAGCTTGCACTCTATACCCACCTTATAAATAAATAAATCTTAAAAAACAAAAAAAAGGATAAAAAAAAAAGAAAGCAGGGAACCTGTTATGATAATCTGGACTTGGAGAAAGTGGACAAACTTGGGATTTACTTTGGATGCAGAACTGGATGTGTTAGTGGATGGATGTGAAAGTTGACAGAGGAACAACCAAGCATGATTTCTGGCTTGAGCAACTAGGTAGAGGGAAGATTTAGAGAGAAACAAGCTGAGCGGCTGGGAGACAGGTTGGGGAGAGTCAAGAAACCTGTTTTGGACAAGCTGAGTTTGAAACAACTACTGAAAAGCCAGCTAGAAACACCACGTCAGCAGCTGGACAGGAGGAACCTGAAGGCAAGGCAGAGGCCAGAGCCAGCAACATAAATGTCCCCGTCATGGACAGGATTTAACCTTCTAAGTCACAGGTCTAGATAAGAGCACTTGGAGACAGTTTAGATGGATAAAAGGTTTCAGAACCAAGGCCAGTACATGCTCCTATTTGGGAGGCTGAGCAAAGAAGGGGGGGGTAAATGAGTGGCCAGCAAAGTGGGAGAAAGGCCAGGAGTGTGTGGTGTCCTGGCAACCAGGGAAGAAAGAACTTCACAGAGGAGGGAGTGCTCAAGAAGGGAGGATAAGTATTCAGGCGCTCAAATCAACCCGGAGACACCTATTTAATACATGACGTGCCCTGACAGAAGATTAAAGGAGTGATCTCATCCATTCTTAACCAAAACACTGGCGGAGAAAAAGACACTCAGAATCCAACAGAGATTTTTTTCAGCATTGCTTTAGGGGACAGAGGCTCCACCGGGAAAAGATAAAGTAGATAATCTTGGATACCAAGGGCTTGTTATTTCTTTCACTTCTGCATCTGCTCAACATAAAGGAACTCTGCTACAACAATCCTTCCCTAGAAGTTCTGACTAGAACAAGGGCCAAAGCTCCATTCAATGGTGGGTCGGCATGATTTACATCTAATATTTTAAAGTCAATGACTATTGGTATTATCTCTAGAAGCAGCTATTCAAGTGGATTCACATTAAATTTCTCATTTACTCTACCTTTCTGTCCTGTTCGGCCTGTATCTCACTTCTGTGATGTTCTAATGCTTTTGCCACTGCAGAGTCAAATGCCCGCTTTTCTTCTAGCTTTTGTTTTTCCAAGGCTAGTGCAATGTGCTGCTTCTCTGTGGCTTTCTGTTCTGCTAGCTCTCTGTTTAGTTGGTCAATGCGGCGATGTGCATGAGCAATCAGGGAATTCAGATCATCAGTAGACAGCTTGTCAGCTAAACAGAAAATTACATTAAAATGTTAATGATTTCACCAGTGAAAATTATACATCTACAAGGTACTTGCTTCAAGTGATAGTAATTTTAACAGCTGTAAAGAAAGCAAAGGGTAGCTAACCCTTTGAAGTGGATTTAGATTCTCCATCAGAAATTCATAGCCTGTGTCCAACTAACTAAGGCATGTTCAAACCCAAGTGAAGTAATTTAGATAGGCCTTCAAGTATATAATCAGTTCTTTTCCAGGAACCCAAATTAGTACTTCCAATCTGAACTAAATATAAATAGATTTTATAATTCACCCTAATTTTGCCTCTAAAGACAGTTTACGTATATACACTTCTATATTTTCATTCATGCATAAATGTGATTAGTCATAAAAGGCATCCTAATATTCTTTTCTGTTAAATCTCAAATTCAGATTCTCTGACTTTTCTCTAGTAAGAGTTTCTATACCTTTTCTTAAACAGATGGTGTTACCCAGGACAATGATCTGCAACCAGAGCTGTCCATTAGAATCACTTGTCGAGTTTTTTAAAATACACACGGCAGAAGATTCTGATTTAAGCTTAAGCATGTGTTTTGTTTTCAGATCTCACATTCCAAAAGTATTCTGACACATTATTATAGGTTAATAATTATAGCTTTAACAGCAAAATGCAGAGTGTGGGAAATACTACATGATAAATGACTCAATTCCACGATTAAAGAACTGAGAAGCAAAAAACAAAGTGGGGATAAGAGACTTATTGACCAAATTCAAGACATGTAGCTCCTTTGGATACTGACTGAAATAAAACAACTAAAAACCTCTTTCTATAAAATGGGGATAACTTAACACTAAAAAATGACATGTGATGACATTAAGGAATTATTGTTTTAGGTGTGATAATGACACAGTGATTAATGTTTTTTTAAAAAACATGGAAATTATTTACAACTGAAAAGGATATATGATATTTGGGATCTGATTCAATATAAACTGGGGAAATAAGTGACAAAAACTAGCCATGTGTTGACAATTGCTGACGTTGGGTGATGGATCAATGAACTTATTATAGTTTTCCTCCTACTTTTCAATGTTTGAAATTTTACAAAATGAAAGCTTTAAAATATATACATATCTCTATCTACAGGTTTCCAATCACTGAAACAACTGTTCCTGAGAGCACATGGATGCCCAAAACATCCAAATCAGATTTATCTCGTGCAATGTAATTCTGTTATAAATTATTTAGATGCTTTAGTATAAGAATCATAGGCAAATAAAAAGACTTCAGTATTTTAAGACACAAAACAAAAGCCTTTAAATTTAAAACACACAAGGGGTGCCTGGGTGGCTCAGTCGTTAAGCGTCTGCCTTCGGCTCAGGTCATGATCTCAGGGTCCTGGGATCGAGCCCCGTATAGGGCTCCCTGCTCAGCGGGAAGCCTGCTTCTCCGTCTCCCACTCCCCCTGCTTGTGTTCCCTCTCTCACTGTGTCTCTCTCTTCAAATAAATAAATAAATAAATAAATAAATAAATAAAATAAAAATTAAAAAAAATAAAACATACAAAATTACTCACCCAGGTCAGAAATACCTACAAAGAAAAAGAACAGTTTGAAAAAAAGAACATACATATTTCAATTATTAATCATTAAATAGGAATATCCAAAAAGAAATGGGGAACAAGAAACCAGTAGTAGAAAAAGCATATTTTAATATTAGAAAGCAAAACAATAGAGTTTATTTCCTAAAACGTAAAAGGATAAAAGGACATAGGCAATATAAATCAAGGTAAATGCTAACATTTTACAAAGTAAGAGAGTCATTCATATTAAAAGTAGCTTTGGTTTCCAGGGACTCATCTGTATTTTTGATAAAGCTATCAACTTAGTTTTTACACAGAAACCTCTGCCCCCCATTAGAAATTACTTAGCGTATTTCACTAAGTCCTAGTCTGGACTCTCAGTACCAGGCCTCTCCAACATTTCAAATACTTAAGAATTCAATATTCTATCACAAGCACCACCTTGAGGACACAGTGACAGGAAAGGGGAACCACAGCCAGTCTCCTGCCTCTCAGCATGAGCTTCTTAACATCATGGGCATGACCCTTGAATTCAGAAAGTTCAAAGACAGGTAGGTATTTTTCATCCCAAATGGCTCTAAAAGTCAACTACTTAATCTGGTATTAGACCAAAAAAACAGGAATCTGTCCCAGTGTTGCAGGAAAAATTGGCAAGATGAAGAAAATGAGATAATGTCAGTCTCAACAAGGCACATAAATAGGACTATATATACTAGTCTATAGCAATAAAGAACTGTCCCCTGGAAATAATGACAATCTACAACCTGCACTTCATTTTCCCATCCTGGCAACAACCACCTAGGCTCCCCCTAAAGGCTACTCCTCCCTCCCCCCACAGTGGTAACCACTATCTCTAAATATAGTGTTTATCTTTTTTTTTAGATTTTATATAGATATATATATATGCATCCTAAAACAACACATTGTTTTGTTTTGCATGTTCTTAAGCTTCATGTAAGTGGTATCCTACTCTATGTATTCTTCTGCAACTTTTTTTCTTAACATTTATGTTTGAGGGGCGCCTGGGTGGCTCAGTCGTTAAGCGTCTGCCTTCCGGCTGAGGTCATGGTCCCAGGGTCCTGGGATCGAGCCCCGCATAGGGCTCCCTGCTCTGCGGGGAGCCTGCTTCTCCCTCTCCCACTCCCCCTGCTCTCTTGCTGTGTCTCTCTCTGTCAAATAAATAAAATCTTAAAAAAAAAAAAAAATTTTACGTTTGAGAGATACAGTTTTAGTTCATTCATTTATACTGCCACATGGGAGGCACATTTAGCAGTTTCTGATTTTTCTGCTCTTACAAATACAGGGCTGCTATGAATATTTTTATGAGTCTCCTTGAGCACCCGTGTCTTCTTAAGCACATACCTAGGAGTTAACCAGTTGGATCAGGTAGTATATACATTCTGACCTAGGCCCACAGAGGCCTAGAACACCAGTTCAGTTCCTACCTGACATTCAACTTATAACAGACAATAGCATTTAAAGAGTATTTTGAATTTGTTAAGACTGGTAATTTATGTGACTGTTATAGTACTCTCAGAGCACTTCAGGAAAATGTGACTATTCTCTGCAATTACACTGTATGAAACAAAGTTAACAAAGTTCCCTGAATTCTGAGCTATTTGCAAGTAGATAGTCATACAGATGATTTCCTTCTCACCAAGGGCGTTTTCAACCATAATGTTGTCACAGAGCAGTCCTGAGGCGTGCCTTAATTCATTACAAATATTTTTTAAGTACCAAAGGCTTTGAATAATTTTACATGTATATATATAAAATATTCTAATACATTTAAAGTTATAATGTCACTCTCACTTACTTGGATTTTAAATTTTTTATTCCTGAGTAGCAGAGACCTGAATAGAACCATTGGTTCTGGAATCAAACACTGGCTGGAACTTGTGTCCACCATGACTAAAACCATGGGAGCACTGTCACCTATCATGGCTATGACTGAAATAAAACGTAGAAAACATTGTACTGTCACCAAATGAGATATGCATACCAGAGGTGTTTGGATTCGATGAATGGGGTTAAAGCAAGTTTAGCTGAACAGCTGTTAAAACACAAAAACAGTGAAGTACCAACACTTCAGTAATACTTACTCATCCCTTTCCACCCTGGCAAGACTTCTGGGGTAATACTGTCCAGTTCTCGTTTAAAGTCATCCCGGGCTTGGACCACCAGCTCATGATACTGAGATACGACCTTAGCCTCAGACTGAGCTGCTTTGACCTGAACAAATACAGGGGGTATGCGGTTAAAGTGAACAGAAATTACCATCACCATCCATCCAAAAAAAAGAGAAATTATATTCATGTATTTATATGTTGGCTGGGAATATATAAATAATATATACAGAGAAAGCTAAAGCTTAGAAAAAGGAACATAAGCCTTGTAATTCAAACAAGCCCTTTACCATCTTACTATGCCCGTGTCCCTCTTTCTCTGGTCACAGGAAACTACCCATATAGACTACGTTAGTGCAGTCAGAAGATATGCTACAAAATTAAAATTTTCATTTAATAGCCACATCCAAAAATATTACCTATTATAAAAAGTATCAACAATAATGGATTATCCACTTTGTGCCCAGGTAAGTTTTTAAAATTAGTAACAACTTCTATTCTTTGCAGGGGAAAAGGGAGAAAGAAAGGAATCTTATTACTTTCCTGAATTCTTCAAATCCTTTGATTAAAGGATTATATTTATAAATTTCAAAATGAGTGGCTCAGTCAGTTAAGTGTCTGCCTTTGGCTCAGGTCATGATCTCGGGGTCCTGGGATCGAGCCCCGCATCGGGCTCTCTGCTCTGCGACGAGTCTGCTTCTCCCTCTCCATGTGTGATCTCTCTCACTTTCATTGTTTCTCAAATAAATATTTTAAAAACAAAATTTTTTTAATGCTGTAAAAGACCTAAGAAACGCACCTTTTGGACCACATTATCCAGATCAACTATCATGTTGTGAAGTTTCCCCTCTGCGGCAGTTATATGAGATTTGGCCCCAGGAACCTCTTCTTTCTTTGCATTTTCAATTACACTCTTCATCTTCTCTAGCTCTTCTCTGGAAACCAATAAAGCAAAACAAAGATTTAGTATTATTCCTCATCAACTTTAGCAAAGAGCTTGATGTAAATACAGCAAACAATTGTTAAGAGTCTATGAACAAAATACAATTTGAAAAAAATTACTGTTTTCTCACAATAAATACAGGCAGAGAAGCTTTCCTTACTAACAACTGAAAACAGCTTGGTCAGAAGCTAGATTTACTAGCGTGAACCAGAGAAGGAGCATGGTGTAGAGGGAAATACACAGGCTTCAGAACTAGGAAAACCTGGATCCAACTCCCAGATCAGCCTCTCCTTTGGTGCTCACCCTTGTATGGGGATTAGAAGTAATTAATGAGAAGTACCTGGCACAGTGCCTGTCCCATTGAGCGCACTCAATAAATGGCAGCTTTTGTATGGATTAGGCTGATTCCCCTTCAGCTGAGAGCAAGCTTAATGAAGGCGGAAGCAAGGGAGGAAGTCAAGGAGCTCACTGAGCAAATATAGCTGGGTCTCGAGGAGCCCTCATGATTCATAATGTTTCACAAATTGGATGAACTGTGACCTACCCACCACAAAACACAGAACTCAAGAGCCCCGACTCAAGGTTTAGTGATGTGAACATAACGTCTTAAATCTCCTAAAAGATATGCTGGCTTGAACTAGAAGACTTCTCTTTCTCTATGAATATTTTATTAAAAATGACACCAAAATTTTGAATGACAGTGATTCCAAAACGAGAGGCTGATGAGACCGTTTAGTCACATGCAGGTTTCCATCATCAGAGGCTGATTTTATACCTGGCTTGCTTGATCCTAGATTTAGCCAAATTCCAGGAATCAAGGTCAGGGTGGCATAAAACTAGACTAGGTACTAAGTACTTTAATAGCTAAGACAAAAAGACATACTCTCAAACATACTCTCAAAATTCTGATTAAACCCCACCCCTGAAAAATCTTGAAGAACCTCAGTAAATCCACTGAGATACATCACCTAAAAGAAAAACGGCTTTTTATACAAGATCCTTTATATAGGTTTCTGCCAAATTTACTTTGGCCTAATTATATTTTATTCCCTCTCTCCTTTTTAAACCTCTGTGGTCCTGATACCAATAGAGATCAAGTGGAGGTGAAGGTGAAGGGTTTCTCTGCCTCTTCTTTCTATACCGACAGTACAAAGAAAACCCAGCCCAAAGAAAGCCACCAGGAGGCCCTAATTACTTGTTAAAGTCCATGAGTAATTACTTGGCTTTGAGAAGGGCATCAGCAGCCTCATCGACTGCCTTTCTGCGTTCCTTCAATGCACCCTCCACTGTCCGCCACTGAGCCGACTTCTTCTCACCTGCAATCTAAACAAAAGGTTTTACTTACACAAACATGAATAACCACTATTACAGTCATAGGATACACCAACATGGCTAAATTTAGAAACAAGGGCATTAAATTCAAAGGTAAAAACTTATATACGACATTTCTTCAGAGTAGGGTCTCTTCATCTAAGGTTCGTGGTTAGAACCAAAGAAGTCCATGAACCCCATCAAAACTGTAGAAGACTGTGTTCTAGTGCGTATCAGCATTTTCTAAGGAGAGATATTTATATTAGATTCACAAAAGGATATTATGAAGCAGAAAAGGTTAATAAGAACAATAACTCTATCAATTGTTTGTTGATTATTCTTCAATGAAGCACCAATATTTAAAATTCTCTTAATTGCAGGTCTACCAAATCAGTTTAAGAATAAGTAGAAAGTCTGGGGCGCCTGAGTGGCTCAGTCGTTAAGCGTCTGCCTTCGGCTCAGGTCATGATCCCAGGGTTCTGGGATCGAGCCCCGCATCGGGCTCCCTGCTCAGCAGGGAGTCTGCTTCTCCCCCTCCCACTCCCCCTGGTGTGTTCCCTCTCTCGCTGTGTCTCTCTGTCAAATAAATAAATAAAATCTTTAAAAAAAAAAAAAAGAGTAAGTAGAAAGCTTATACATTTGTACAGTCCTTACTCCTCCAAAACATTATCCTAAAAAATGACCCTCTGTAACTGGTAAAGTGAAAATCAACTATTGTCAAACCCACCCCCCCCTTGAGCTGTGTTTTATAAAATGTTAATTTTATATATATATATATATATATATATATATATACACACACACACACAAAAGTCCTCTTTGAAAATCTTTATAGAGGTCCAAGGATAAGCTGTTCTGTAGAATAGACACTAGATTCCCCTACTATCAAGCCAAGACCAACGGTTTCCAAACACTGTTTTGAAAAAGTAATTCTGTATCTATTGTAAGAGCCTTGTGCACCAGTTTTTTTTACACAAGTTGGAATCCATTTTTAACATTTCAAAACGTGTTCATTCATGTTTCTGATAATTTTGTAACACCAGCTAATATCCCTAGTCTAGCTAACCACTACCGTAAGATGTCCTTTAGTTGTAAAATCTTGATTTTAATAGATTTCATACTATCTAATCCACATGCATTACATAGTGTGCATTCACTGGGAAGAGGAAATACCCTCTTATGTAGCCTTTCACCAAAGTAATACCATTGACATTTAAAGCTTCTAATCAGCGTCCTTCTGAAACATACCGGTCTATTTTGGTTTGAACCCAAATTCCTGATACTCTACAACTTACAGCCTTCCCACACCTGTATAACCAAAATATTAAGTATTCTCTGTGTAGTTTCCACTTTCCTGACTGAACTCTGACTGAAATTAAATGTTTTTCTTGGACACTGAATAAACCAGAATTTTAAGGTTTTTTTTTAAAGGTTGTAATTTCTAGCTGTTTATATCAGAGCTCTTTTTTGTGATGTATGTGTGTAGGACTGAAACAATGTGAAGTGTGTTTAAATTCTGTAAAAAGCACACAGTTAAAGTGGCAAAGTAACTTTACTTATGGCACAAGATCCTGATCCCTGAGATTCACAGTTTATGTATTTATTTTTACTCTTTAAATGACTTGGTGTCTAGATATATTTTTATACATTGAATAACTGAATGTAATTATTAAAAAAAAAATTAAGTCCCAGTATTACAGTTTTAAATCAATGTAATTACTTTACTCTCTTATGTGCTCAATGTAAGTTAAATAATCAACACAAGCATTTAAAATAGCTGGTTTTGGGGCATCTGGGTGGTTCAGTCAGTTAAGCATCCGACTCTTGATCTCAGCTTATATCTTGATCTCAGGGTCATGAGTATGCTGGGCTCCACACCCAACAAACAAACAAATAAAAATAATAAAATAGCTGGTATTTGGAGGTACACGGGATCTCTCTGTACTTTTTTTTTTTTTTTGAGAGAGTGTGAGGGGGGGGCGGGGAGGAGCGCAGGCAGAGGGAGAAGGAGAATCTTAAGCAGGCTAGCTCCATGCCCAGCTCAGAGCCAGATGTGGGGCTCCATGCTGGATCTCATGACCCTGAGATCATGACCTGAGCCAAAATCAAGAGAAAATGGTATTATTTCTTATAACTGTGTGACAATCTAAAAGTATCTTAAAGTAAAAAGTTTATTTTAAAAAATGATTGGCAAAAAATTAAAACTTAAAATTAAAAAACTAAATTAAAAATGGTTGGCAATTTTAAAGCAAAAAAAAAGCAGACAAATAATATTCAAGCACTATTAAGATATGAAAGCAAATAGGAACTAATTCTTGTTACCATATCATTGTTGTGAGATAAAGCACTATATGAAACTCATTAAAAACAACATGCAAAGCTTTTTCCTGCCTTGTTTATTTTAAAAAAAGTTACTCTAGGGGTGCCTGGGTGGCTCAGTCGGTTAAGCGTCTGCCTTTGGCTCAGGTCGTGATCCCAGGGGCCTGGGATCGAGCCCCGCATCTGGCTCCCTGCTCAGCGGGGAGTCTGCTTGTCCTTCCCCCTGCCTGTGCTCTCGCTTGCTCTCTCTCAAATAAATAAAATATTTTTTAAAAAGTTACTCTAGATAGTCTTCACTTAGTGGGAGAAAGCCCGTATTAGAAGGAAGAAATCAGTCTTAAGTACTACCTGTCTATCCATTCTTTGGCTCACCTCAGAATTGTCCATGGCTGCTTTCAAGATGTTGGAGTGCGCACTGACAGCCTGCACCGCAGCATTCTGAGCTATGATGGCCTGTTGAGTGATGTGAGCAGTTTGGCTCAGAGCATCTTCTAAGCTCCTGGCTACAGCTGAAATACACAGAACAGTTAAAATAACAAATCCCTCCCTCCTAAATAACTTTATTGTAAACTTCCCTTCTTCTCCTACTGAGTCTTTCTTTTGCATTTCCTCAAAAATGTAAAAAACAAAAACACACAGATTTAGAGAATCAGTTTCATTTGAAAGTATGGTAAAATGTTAGTAATTACTAAATCTGGTGGACAGACCTATGGGGATTCATTATACTATTTTTACCTTTATATACAACTGAATTTTTTTCAAAATAAAAAGTGTTTTGGGTTTTTTTTAAGACAAAAATTGCTTAAAGAAGGCCAGCATATACTTCAAATGGGAGGAACAAAGTTTAAGGCACTGTTCAGCCCCTTTTAGCTACTAGAGGCTATAAATTCAGTATAACCACCAGCATTTTTCAGTTTAAATAATGATCATATAGCTCCACAGGGAAAAAGAGTATCTCCTCAGCATGAAGGGACACTCAGAGCAAATTATATCACCAAGATATAAGGAGATAACAGACAGACAAGAGAAAGAAAAAGATAAGGAAACATGGCAACAAAAAAGAAAAGGTGGTTTGGGAAGGGACAGTGTTTTCCGTAGGAGAACTCAAGAAACAGCCATATATCAAGATGCAAGAGGCTACAACCTACTAAGATCATATTTCTATATGCTGCTTCAGGAATCAAAAAGAAACCTAATTTTAAGAAAAATAAAGCAAGGGATGATTCCAGATATAATACTAAAATGGCAAACGGTCATCTGAAGAAAGCAAGCCAGTGAGAAGACTAATTTATCACATATCAGATGATTTAAAAAGGGAAAATATGTTTGGCAGGTAAAACAGAAACAGAAGGTGATTTTGAGCAAAAGAATCATAAGCTAGAGATGAACAAATGGAACCTCCGAACCACCTGCAGTACCTGGGCAACGGAGATAAAAGGAGAAAGTTGGTGATGAGAAAATACCACACCATGAGTGTCAGACTGAGGTTCACCTGAAGACACAGGGGATATGAAGAGAGGGGTATAAAGAGAAAAAGAGGCAGGGAGGGAACATGCATGAGTTGCAGGGGTGGGGAAGACATGAGAGCACAGGTAACAGTAAACCACTTCACAGTGGCCCACAGGCTCAAAGTCTTCTTCAGGTCTACTCACTGTACTTTGATTCCTCCTTCCCCCCACCCCGCCCCCTTCTTTCTTGTTTTGTTTTGTTTTTGCTATTCAGTTATAGGAGTTCCATATATATTTTGGGTATTAACCCCTTATCAGACATATGGTTTGCAAATAGTCTCTCCTATTCCACAGGATGCCTTTTTGTTTTGTTGTTTCTTTTGCTGTACAAAAGCTTTTTTAGTTTGATGTAATTCCACTTGTTGCTTCTGTGTGCAGAAAGTAAGAGAGAGAGAGAGCGAGCATGAGCAGGGGGGAGGGGTAGAGGGAGAAGCAGACTCCCTGCTGAGCAGGGAGCCCAATGTGGGACTCGATCCCAGGATCCTGGGATCATGACCTGAGCCAAAGGCAGATGCTTAACCGACTGAGCCACCAGGTGCCCCTGGTGCTTTGATTCTTGACAAGAATTACAAACACACACATTTTAAAAGTAAAGCTTGGGAGAAAACTAAGAGGTGACAGACAAAATCCTTAAAATTTTCACTTTGCCCAAAATGAAAGATAATAAGTGGACCAAAAAAAAAGGGAGCATGATGAAACAGCAGACATCACTAATCTTAAATGTACAACTTACTTCAAGGTGTCTACATAATAAAAGGGGAAAGTGAAAAATATGAATAAAAAAATTATCTTTATGTGCTGTAGTAGAGAATTCAGGAAAAATTAGGAAGTGGGAAAAAAATATAGAAATATTTCACTTATTTAGAAGTCTTTATTCAACATTCCCAATTATTTGTAACCAAGAACTCAGAACAACACATTAAAAAAAAAAAAAAAAAAAGCCAAGTAGCCAAACTAAAGCCCTGCACCTATACTCCTTCTGTCCCTTCTACTCTTTACATAATTCCAACAAACCTGCCTCCTCAGAGTAGGGCAGAACCAAAGCATTAGAAGGGAAACAAGAACCACTCAAGACAAACAGACAAGCAGAAATAAGACATGGGGAGAAACAAACAAAAACTACAAACTGCTGCCATAAGACTTTAAAACAAACATCTCTCAGTCCAGGAAAAAGCTACATATCCCCTACCTCCAGAGACATCACTATACTGCCCAGTACAATCAAAGATGCTCCCTGCACCTTGTTTAAGACCAGAAAATACATTTTTAGGTATCTAGTATCATTTTTTAAAACCGTCAAAAAGTTTAACATAAAATCGAAACTTAAAAAGGAATATGCTTCAGTTAGCTGGAAACTGGCAATGTGTATATTCCACATTCCACCCCCCACCAATGTCCGATAAGGAGGCTACTAGACAGAGTCCAGAGGCTGGTAATAAACCAGAGCAATTAAAAGACTCTCAGGGAAGTTGCCAAAACATAAACAATTTCTGTTCCACAGAATACAAAGAATCTTTAGCACAAACCCTAATAAACACAAATGGATTAAGTACAAGTATTATTCGGAATTTTCTCCAACTGTACACTAAGAATAGCCTTTGTTACCCAGGTAAAAGTTTAAATGGAAAGAATACAAATGATGAAATAAAGGTGGTACACAGACAAATGCCACTAAAGAAACCAAACTAGCTGATGGATGAGAAATGTGTGCCAATGGCTGAAGAAGACAGCAACTGATGGAGATGACCCAAAGTGCTTAAGAAGTCGTCTGTTTACATACACTCAATCTTAACTTGTTCTTGCTTTTCCTGTTGTGCAAGGCGAGCTGCAACTTCTTCGGGTGGTCGCTCCCGTACAGAAGTTGAGGATGCTTCCTCTTGCAGCATAAGTAAATAAGAGGAAATGAAATTTCAGCACAGAATTTCAATAGCTCAGAGGGATATAAAAACACCATCGTTTGTACTTGCCAGCTCTATCAACTGAAGGCATTTTGTCATTAGGATTCTAAAACCACATCATCAATGATTCCAACATGAAGAAATAAGGGATCAGCTCTTAAACCTCTTGCTTTCAGAGATTTACTCAGACTCTGAAATTTAAAAAAATTCCCTAAGCAAGTCTGGAAATAAAACCAGCATAAGTGGGTACTTACATACTGTCTAGAGGTTGCCTAGGCATTAAATAGTTCTGATGAACAAATCATTTATAAAACCACAAATATAAATAAACTACCTGAAGCTGCAGGCTTCGGTTGCCCTTCACCAATTCCAGGGTGCTCAGTTTTTATAGATTCCTCATGCTGAACCGCAGGGGCTGGGACTGACGGTGCATCACCTGCTGCAGAAATAATTTGAGCTGCCTCTGTAGATCCTATAAATATATGTTACTCATGGTATTTATAGTTTCCGGGGTTAACACAGAAGCACACAGGAATCTACTACAACTAACACCCACTTCACATCTGACTCCTTACAGACACAAACGCATGTACTGTCACTACTCAAACATGCAAACAGACTATGGCCCTGTCCCCCACAGACACAAACCCACACAAGATGGACAATGGTGGGAAATGCACAAGAGAAAGGATTCTCTTGCACTTTAAGCACCACCATTCTCAGGCAGGGCTTCTAGTAACAGTACTAAATGACATTAAATCTTAACATATGAGAAGTAGGCATAAAATTTACATAACATGGAAAAGTAGTAACAAAGGAAAAAGGGGCCTGTAATGAAGAAGGTAGACAAAACAAAGTAACCAAAAGATATTTTTTAACGCTTTGAACAGTGTAGAGATGAAAGAGTTGTGAGCAAGAACAGTATGACAGTTTTAAACACAAAAGAAGAAAGGCTGAAAAAAATCAAGAGCTGATAAACAAGTGTTGGAAAATAAACTGGATAATTCTAGAAGTAAAATAGAGGAGAAAAAAAGAGCAACATAATAGAGAAAAAGAAAATTTAAATAAACTAAAAGTCCCATTTAAGAGATGAAGCTGGATTACTGTAAGGCCTATTACCTGGTCTCCCTGCTCTGCTCTTGGTCCCTTTATCTACTCTCCGCAATAGCCACTGATCTTATTAAAAGTCATATATCACTCCCTTGGCTCAGAACCCTCTTAACACCTTCCCAACCCACTCAGAATATGAAGCAAAATGCTTATAATGGCCTCCAAAGACTGCCACAATAGGCTTCCTGCTTCCTCTCGACCTCATTTTCTACTGTTCTTCTTCTACTCCAGCTTCATGTGCTCCTTACTAGTTAAATATACCAAGCCTTAGCACTAGCTAATCCCTTTGCTTGGGATGCTTTTCTCCCACCAGCCTCTTATACATGCCTTAATCCCTCACTTTCTAGTCTTTGCTCAAATGACACCTTCCAGGTGAGACTTTCCTTACACACTCCATTTCAAATTGCAATATTCCCCAACACATCACTTCTGACATCCTATACACTTTACATAGATTTATATATAATCTTCCTCCCCTTATCCCACTAAGAAATATATGCAGAGTTTGTGTTTGTTTTTACTATTTTGTTCACTGCTATAGCCCCAGTGCCTAGAAGAATGTTTGGCACATAGGAGACAATCAGTGAATATTTGCTGAATGAAAGAAAGTCAAGAGGTTTAATCAAGGACAGAAGTGACTAAGGAGAAACACAGAAGTTGAAATGTTTACTGAGCAGGTTAGAGTTAGATGTGCCATAAACTGGGATAGAATTACTGGCAAATCATGAATGGGGAAAAAAATTCCCCAGACCACAGCTAGATCACTAAGAAGAGAGGAGAAAGGCTAGGAGGCAGAGGGGAAAAATATAAAGAAAAAGGGTTATAGACAATACAACTCAGTAGCTATTCATAATGAAGTCCAATTCCATATCCCACTCAGCTCCTAAAATGAGTGTCAAATGGTAGGTGTAAACACTCCTTCCCTGGTGAGAAGGACCAGAAGAGTGCTTCAAGGGGCAGGGGCCCCCCTCTTGACCCTTGACCCCCAATGTATTTAATGTACATACAGATACATTAAAACAATTCATTTACCTACAATTTTTAAAAATTGATTCTAAGTATAGGTACCTGTTGTTGAAGCTGGAGTGTCTCCCTTCTGTTTTTGGAGTTGTGAGGCAGGCTGTTTAGATTCTTTCATTACCTCTGATACACTAGAGATTTTTACTGGACCAGACTGAATCTTGGAAATAAAAAACATGTAACATCTCAAATACTTTTTTTTTTTTAAGGCAGCATACAGTAACGTGTAATTATTTCAAAATTCAAGTATATCAGGCTTTAACACTTCACAATATTACACATCTTATTAATCACAGTAAGATAAGAGAAGTCTTCATTTTAGAAAAATCAACCCAAAAACTTCATTCCAAATGACTGGCCCAATTTTCATAGTAACAGAGGTTTCTCTTAGGGCAACTAATAAACTACATGAAGCAGAGCCTTCCCTTTATTTTTTTTTTTTTTAAGATTTTTATTTATTTATTTGACAGAGAGAGATACAGTGAGAGAGGGAACAAAAGCAGGGGTGAGTGCGAGAGACAGAAACGGGGAGTTTGAGAGGGAGAAGCAGGCTCCCTGCTGAGCAGTGAGCCCGATGTGGGGCTTGATCCCAGGATCCTGAGATCAAGACCTGAGCCGAAGGCAGATGCTTAACAACTGAGCCACCAGGCGCCCCCAAAGCCTTCCCTTTAAACACCATTTCTTTTACATATACAACATTGAGCAGACCATTTCCATCTGCTTTCTAAATCAAATTTTGTTGCCTTGCGCATACATTCAGTTAGAAACAATTTTCAGAGGCTCTGAGTAAAACTGAATGTTGGTTTTTTGTTTCTTTAATCTCCCAGATTCATGCAACTGCACACGAGAAAACACAATCCTATTGTAATGTCCAATTTTCTCTTTCTCAGTTACCATCTGCCTTAGTTAAGTTTAAGACCCTGTTCACTAACAGGACTACCATATGATGTGCTGGCAAAAATTACTGAGTAACAGAAACATTTTCATTTACCACCTGCGATGTGCCATTTTTTGCCAGAACTTGGCAATGGGATTCAGATATCTCAAAGACTATTCAAATATAATATAGTTCTGAACTTTGTCACTACCAGAAATGAGAAATATGTGCATTCTCTTTTAGTAAAATTTTATTTAAATCATGAAATACATGCTCACTATAACAAGCAAAATAATATCAAGACATATTAATGGTTTTATTTTGCCTCTTTACTGCTCTTTTCCCTTCAGCACTTGCAGGTAGCCACTGCCAATAGCCTGAAATCTATCGTTCCACCCCTGAGCATAAGCTCAGGTATATATACATATACAATTTTTCATTTTTTAAAACAAACCAAAATAGGGTTATATTATACAAATTATCATGTAACTCAGTTCTTGGTTTTGTTTTCATTTAATAATCTATCACAGACATTCTCTTCCAGGTCAAGAAATTATTTTCAGTTGCATAACATCCTAATTTAATTGCATATCTTAATGTATCTGCAAACCCTATAATTTTGTCAATTACTCTATTTTTGGACATTCAAGCTGCTTCCTGCTTTTTTTGTTGTTAAACACCCTTGTCCAGGGTGGCTGGATGGCTCAGTCCGTAAACATCTGCCTTCGGCTCAGGTCATGATCCCAGGGACTTGGGATTGAGTCCCTCATCAGGCTCTTTGCTCAGCCGGGAGCCTGCTTCTCCCTCTGTCTGCTGCTCCCACCTGCTTGTGCACGTGCTCTCTCTGACAAATAAATAAATAAAATCTTTAAAAAAAAAAAAAATCTTTGTCCGTGTAACTGAAAAGCACTGTAGTGTGGTATCTGTAGGATAGTTTGCCAAAAGAAGAAGTGCTGGGTCAAAGAGGTTATATATTTTTAGCAGCTATTAACAGATCGCTTTCACATACGGTTCTAGCAACTCACACTCTCACAGTAAATGTGTTTGTATGTGTGTCTGTGTATAAAAAGACCTATTTCCAGACTAAGTTGTTCTATTCCTCTAATTTCTAATCCTGTGTCAAAACCTTATTGTTCTATTAAAGTAGGACTATTACAAAGTCAATTACCTGGAAAAGCAAGTGTCCTCTGACCCCTCCCCAACCCAAAACTGTTTTGAAATTTCTTGGCTAGTTTAGTACATTATTTATCCTTTCATGTGAATTTTAAAATCATCTTATCTGATTCTTCAACCTCTAAAGAAATCCATTAGAATTCTTATTAGGCGTATGTGTATATGGGGGGGGGGGTGTGTGTGGGGTGTGTGTGTGTGTGTATACAATTGTCATTTCTGTCAAATATATACAAATTTAAGGGAAATTTGAGAGAGATGTATATATTTGAGAAAAACGACATTTTTATGATATTAAGTCCTATCCAGAATGTAATATTTGTCTCCATTTAGGCAGGTCTTATTCCATATCCATCAAAAAGATTTTAAGTTTATCTTCTCTCAATATTTATTATCTATGCATAAATAATCATGTTGGCACCAAAAGGATTATCATGAAATAAAATGCACAGCTTCTAAAAGCAAGAAGTTGGTAACAATGTGCAAGAGTAGAGAATGAGTAAATGGTAAAAATTAAAAAATAAAACACTAACTGCTACTGTAATTCAGAGGTGAGAGAATACACTTTGGTGTATGTAGTGAAGGATGTAGGTCTTGAAGAGAACATTAGTAGGCAAAAGAAAGGAAGCCGCTCTGGGTACAAGCCCACCAAGGGAAAAGTTGTGCAAGTGGAAGCGATCTTTGTTTAGCTCTCTGCTTTAACACAGGCCCTTGAAACAGTGTCTGGTATGTAATAATCACTTGATTGACATTTGCTGAATAAATGATGGAAAGCACAAGGTAGGGCACCTGGGTGGCTCAGTTGGTTAAGCGACTGCCTCCGGCTCAGGTCATGATCCTGGAGTCCCTGGATCAAGTCCCGCATCAGGCTCCCTGCTCAGCAGGGAGTCTGCTTCTCCCTCTGACCCTTCCCCCTCTCATGTGCTCTCTCTCATTCTCTCTCTCTCAAATAAATAAATAAAATCTTTAAAAAAAAAAAAAAAAAGAAAGCACAAGGTATATTTGTAAGGTAAACTGGCATGAAGCTAAGGATTTATGTGCAGGACCATTCAGAGATAAGGTTGGAAAGGTAAGTAAGAGCCAGACTGCCAAGTGTGTTAAATGTCAACCTAAAAACCAGCAAAAACCATAAACTACAGAATAAAGGCTAGCTTTATTTATTTATATACAAATGGCTAGCTCCTAGGCTAACTTTTAACCACTCCTGGCTTTACTCTCCTTATTCAGAACATGAAACAATGTCTAAAGTCTCTCTAGTTTTTCATTCTGTGGTCTTCTGTCTTTCAAATGATAATAAATATATAAAAGTTACTGATAAGTGATAACATGAAAATATCATAAAAATGTGATAGCACTTATTTTAGAAGATTCTCTGGTACTGACATGAGGATGGCCTAGATTATGGTAGAAGGAGAGATCTCCGGGGTGGAGACTGGGAGGAAAGTCTTGTGGGGGGGGGGGGGGGCAGGAAAAAGTCTAGTGTGGATATGAAGTGATAAAGGTCAGAAGTGGGATGACAGTTGTAATGCAAGAAAAAAAATAAGTATCAGAGATTAAACAAGATATGATAGCTAACAAAATATAGGCAACTATGAAGATGAACCTAAGAATTCTAACCTAACTATGTGACAGCATGGTACTACCTGTAACACAAAAAAAGCCAGTCAAGAAGAGTGTAACTTTTGAGGTGGTGCAGTATGAACCTGCCAAGTAATCCAAGTGGAAATGTTCAGCAGGATAGCTAAAGTGGAATGAGAAGAGGCCATGACTCTTGAGAGAGATAAACACAAGTAATCTACAAAGAATGACACCTGAAGTCATGTCAAGCAAGAAAAGAATGCTACTCTCAACTGTTCAGCCTTATTCCTAGAATTGCTCTCAGCTATTTCTCCTGGGTCATGTAGGTTAAAATAGACCCAAGATTTTAGAATGAATCCACAGAATTCTGTTCCTTGACTACTAAAGTTGCAAAACTGTCTCTCTTGGCCAGCACAGACATTATAAAGTTCATATGGAAGAATAAATGATGTGGAAGACTATTTTGAAAAAGCATGACAGGGTCAGGGGGCGCCTGGGTGGCTCAGATGGTTAAGCGTCTGCCTTCGGCTCAGGTCATGATCTCAGGGTCCTGGGATCGAGCCCCGCATCGGGCTCCCTGCTCCTTGGGAGCCTGCTTCTCCCTCTGCCTCTCTCTCTCTCTCTCTCTGTCTGTCATGAATAAATAAATTAAAAAAAAAAAAAATCTTTAAAAAAAAAAAAAGCATGACAGGGTCAGGGGAAGCTGTCAGAGGACACTTGCTTTTCCAATTATTAATGTTGTGATAGGACTGACCTCTAGACTATGCTAGATACTACAGAACAGAAGCCCACCCAATTTCTAAGAAAGTACTAATCAGCCATGTCCAGCCTCACAGCATAAAGAAATACCCAAGACCAAATCAGCAAAACTCCATGATCTCTTTTGTAAATTTTTTTTCAAGCAGTTGTTTGAATGAACAATTATTTAAGATGTTTTTAAAAAATTTTAAGCCTGGGGCGGAGGGGGGGGGGGGTTCAAACTCTGAATATGTACAAAGTTCCAGAAATACCAGAAGATATTCCTGTCAACCAATCAGTAAGTAGCTGAAAATTCTGTGACTCTTGTTTTGTGGTCTAAAAAGAGCCACTACTAACTATAAATAACCCTTGGGTTCTGTGTCATGACCATTCTATGTTTATGTTTTTAGTGTTGTAAGTCAGAGCTTGATAGCTGCAACAGTGTAGGCTGTCACAACCACCCTCTATCCACAGGACAACCACAGTTACCTCTGCCCAAGCAGCCTCTTCCATTTACTCTCATGTGCCACGCAATTATTTTCTATGTAGTGGGTACTAATGAGAACACTTAACTCAGAAGGGATAAAAATCCAACTCTACAAATTAATGTTAAAGGAAACTAGTAAACACACATCTGGCAAGTTCTACGGAATTATAAGATATTTTCAGGATGAAAACAACCTGCTTTTACAAGTATTCCATAGGATAAACTGAAATATTGTTTAAAACTCTTACCGGCTTCTTTGGCAACGGAACAGGATAAGGTGGGGAACCAAGAACCATTTCAAAGAGTTTGTCTGAGTAAGGTATGGTTTTCTCCACACTTTCCCGGAAATGGGAATCCCATTTGGCATACAGGATAGTGCCACCAATACCTCCACCAACAAACAAAAGGCCAGCTCCAGCAATTTTACCAGGGGACAACCTAAGTGAAAGAAACAGGAAACACATTTATATTTCTTGGTTCTCCCAAACCTACTTTCTTAGACCAATGTAAAAGTCTCAAAGACCTCTAACCTCTACCCCTCTACTGCTGATTCAGATCACAGCAGCCGAGTTTATTACTATAGCTGCACATCACCTTTCCCTGATTTGCTTTAAAACATGTCTGCAATAGAAAATAACATTTACTTATGTATATTTTTTAAGTATAGTAATATCTAGAGTAGGAAGAATGAAGTAATCTACCCTGTAACAGTTAAAATTCAAGATGTTAAAAAAAATTCAAGATGTTCACAATCAAGAGATTTCCTTTGAACCCAAAAAAAGAAGTATCACTAACTTTTAAAGCTCCTCTCCTCTTAATAAAACATTTCTGTAAATAAAATAAACCCTTTACAAAAGACAGACAATACAAATATCAGATAAAACGAATACTTTTAAAATTATAATATGCTGAGCTCCGGATATAAATCTATTAGCCACAGAATGGAAGACAGCATATGGGGGAGGGAAGCTGTCTACCTTGGATGCCATCCAACTACAAAAAAACCAAAAGGAGCATCATTACAAATTTTCACAGCAAAACTCCAGTGTTTGTACCCCTTAACAAAAAAAAGATTTTAAGCAGCTATTTCCATATTCATGGGAAAGAAATGCACCCACACCTCTTTACACATGATTAAAAGCCCATTTACGGGGAGACACACCACATACCTAGAACCACCTGAAGTAGAGTATCTACGGCATGGTCGTAATGGACGGAGGACAAATTTCCCACAGAGACAACTCTAGAGAGGAAGGAAAAAACATCACAACCAATGCAGAAGGAATCTGGAAAGCTTTTAGGGTGGTAACTCAGATGTAATATCTTTATTACACATGCCTTTGTTAAAAAATTATTTTATTTTCAGAAATCAACCATGAAACATTCTTACTGACCCTTAACAACAATGATGCTTCCAGTCCCCAAGGCTCACATAAGATTATTTTTAAGGTTAAAAAAAATGCTTATCAGATTATGATTAGCACTTTTAAGTGTTATGTACACTATTTCTTGGCTACGACTGGAATTTGCCATATGTTTTAATTGGCAAGAAAAAATAAAATAGTATAAAATATCTATTTTTACTTAGTAAGTTTAATTTAGACATCTGAAAAATCACCCAGGGCTCCATCCTAGGATCCTGAGATCATGACCTGAGCTGAAGGCAGACACTTAACTGACTGAACCACCCAGGCACCCCTAAAAGTCAAAAATTTTAAGAAAAAAATTGTAACGTTATAAATGCTCAAGTAAATACTTATGTCCATGTAACTAGTCTATCTTTACTCAAAAGCAAATTATCAGACCAACACTCTGAAATTCGTTTAAATCAAAGTAAAGCACATAAATGCAAATGTTTCTTAACAATATGTGAATCCCTTAAATAAAACAAATGAACACCTATCAGAATGCTATTGGGGAAGGTTTTGATAAACTTAAAGTCATTCATAGCAATCCATCTGAAATTTCAAATTTATTGCATCAGTATCATCTTTCCTTATACCAACTAGAAAATCAAATTGCAACAAGGCAAGGGGGAAAATGCATTCTCTGGGTTCCTTGATGAAACTACATTCAAAGAATATCAGAAAAACACAAATTTCCTTTTAGAAATATCTTAAATTCAAAGAAACTTGATAGGCCATATAAAACTACTCTAGAATTACAGCTGCAATTTATGCTCTAAGCCTGAAGGTAAGTAAACATTAACGTCTTAACACATTTAGGGGAAAAAAGTAACCAGTTAGATGTTTTACGAAACGTAAAGAAGTTATAGTTGGTATTTTAAAAGCATTTCAATTATCTTACGTGTAGAATTCTCAACATCTTTCAACTGTATTTAACAGAAAAGCATGTTTTCCTACCGTTCTGTAAAGCAGATTATATGACATTTTATTTTATTTTATTTTTTTAAAGATTTTATTTATTTATTTGAGAGAGAGAATGAGATAGAGAGAGAGCATGAGAGGGGGGAGGGTCAGAGAGAGAAGCAGACTCCCTGCTGAGCAGGGAGCCCGATGTGGGACTCGATCCCGGGACTCCAGGATCATGACCTGAGCCGAAGGCAGTCGCTCAACCAACTGAGCCACCCAGGCACCCTATATGACATTTTAAACAGAACTGCATCTACCTTTATATGCCAACAGCTCCATTTTGTTGAGTTAGAAATTATTAGGAAATGATTAAAGTTGTACTTAAGATTCTATACTTTCACAGGTACAAAGAAGTATTCAAGTCAAAAATTAAGACACTGTTCACAGTGGATAACCAGCTACCTGGAACATCAAGCAGCAAACATTATAGTGGAAAACTGAATCTGGGAAGTATAAAACCAAATTAACACTAGAACCCAAGAATACCTTATTTCACATCAGTATTTATTTTTTAACCTGTTTCTTTTTCCATCTTCTACTTTCTTTTACCTTGACCCTCTTCCCTCCTTGACAGAATATATCTGATGTGACTGTAAGTTTACACTTCTTAGTATGAAGAAAATTAAAACATAAACTTTAAAATCAAAATTCAAAAGTTGCATACAGTAGGGTCTCCTTCACTACTTCTGTCCCCCAGCCACTCAGATCCCCTCTCCATAAGCAACCAATGCTATCAGTTTCCTGTATATCCAGAGATATTTTGTGAGAGAATTCCCAAAACGCCCACTAACACAAATACCATAATATACACCCAGTTCTGAAGTGAAGTTCATTCAACAAGATGTATCTGTGATCCTTCTGTATCAGTCAATGAACTCTTCCCAGTGGGTTTTACGGAGATTCATTATTCCACTGCATGGACGTTATTTAATGTACTTAACCAGCCCCCTTTTGATGGACAGTGAGATTCAGTCTAAATTTTTGTTATAATAAATAACGCTGCCTGGGAAATATACATTATTTTGGGTCAATTCTTAAAGTAAAATTTGCAATGTTGATAAATACTGCCAAAGTAGTCAAAATGTCTTCTAGTAATATGAGAGTATGTTTTCTCACAGCCTGCCGAACACACACGTTCAGTACAGTCTTAATCACAATTTCCTTTATTATGACTGATATCTTTTCATGTATTTATGATGTTATTTCCTTTTCTATGAATGATCAGAGTGCATCTTTTGACCACTTTTATTATTTCTTTACTTTTATTTATTACTGCTGTTCATACACACTTTTTTTCTAAAATAAAATAAAGGGACACCTGGGTGGCTCAGTCAGTTAAGCATCTGCTTTCCGCTCAGGTCATGACCCCAGCGTCCTGGGATCAAGTCCCACATCAGGCTCCCTGCTCAGCGGAGAGCCTGCTTCTCCCTCAGCCTGCTGCTCCCCCTGCTTGTGCGTGCGTGCTCTCTCTCTCTGGTACTTAATAAAACTGTTTAGTGAATGTTTCCTTACACCCAGTTTCACTTTTTTTTTGAGTATAGGTGACACACAATGTTACATTAGTTTCACATATCCAACATGGTGATTCAACAAGTCTATGTTATGCTGTGCTCACCCCAAGTGCAGCTACAATCTATCATCATACAATGCTGTTACAATATCAATGACTATGTTCCCTATACTGTACTTCTTATTCCCCTGACTTACTCATTCCATAACTGGAAGCCTGTACCTCCCACACCCCTTCACCTACTTTGCCCTTCCCCCTCCTCCTCCCTTTAGTTTATTCTCTGTATTTATAGGTCTGACTCTGCTGTTTATTCATTTGGTCTTTAGATTCCACACACAAGTGAAATCATATGGTATTTGTCTTTCTCTGTTTTGACCACTTTTAAGTAAGACTGATCTTCTTCATATCCTCTTCTCTTTATATATGACAAGAAATTAGCCACGTGTCTGCTAATCACAAATGTTTTCATCCAGTTTGTGATCTGCTTTTTATATTTGTTCATGGTAGTTTACATCATGCAAAAAATTATTTTTATGTAGTCAAAACTGTCAATCTTATATGGCTTCTGTGTTTCTCATATTCTTAGAAAGTCACCCTCAGAATTATAAAATAATTCTTCCATGTTTCCTCTATCACAGTTTCATTTTTTTAAATACATAAATCCTTGGAATTAGTGTAAGGTACGGAGTCAACCTTATTTTTTTCCAAATATCTATTCAGTTGTCCCTAAATCATAGACTGAACAATTTTTTCCAATGATTTGAAATGCCACCTTTGGGCGCCTGGGTGGCTCAGTTGGTTAAGCGACTGCCCTCGGCTCAGGTCATGATCCTGGAGTCCCGCATCGGGCTCCCCATTCAGCAGGGAGTCTGCTTCTCCCTCTGACCCTCTCCCCTCTCATGCTCTCTCTACCTCATTCTCTCTCTCAAATAAATAAATCTTAAAAAAAAAGAAATGCCACCTTTAAAATACACCAAATGCCTTGATGCATTTAGATTTCCTATTTTATTCCACTGATCTACACTAATACTACCATATTTTAATGACTGCATCTTAGAATTAGCTTTTAATCTGGTAGGGCTTGTCCTCTCTTTGAGTACTATTATTTTTTCAGAATTTTTCTGTCTACTCCTTTCTTTTCTTCTTTTGAAAGCTGAGCTATCAAAATGCTTTCAATTAAACAACACACCATCAATTATAAGATGCACTCTGGGGGCACCAGGGTGGCTCAGTCAGTTAAGCAGCTGCCTTTGGCTCAGGTCATGATCTCAGGGTCCTGGGATCAAGCCCTGAGTCAGGCCCTTCCCCACTCCCCACCGCCCATGCTTGCTCTCGTGCTCTCTCTCAAATAAATAAAATCTTTAAAAAAAAAAAAGATGCAGGGCGCCTGGGTGGCTCAGATGGTTAAGCGTCTGCCTTCGGCTCAGGTCATGATCCCAGGGTCCTGGGATCAAGTCCTACGTCAGGCTCCCGGCTCAGCGGGGAGCCTGCTTCTCCCTCTGACCCTCTCCCCTCTCATGCTGTTTCTCTCTTGCTCGCTCTCTAAAAAATAAATAAAATCTTTAAAAAATAAAAAATTAAAAAATTAAAAATTAAAAAAAAGATGCACCCTGATTTAAGGAGGGATAAACGTGTGGGGGGGGGGGTAATCTTTCATGGCCAAAATCTGATAGCAGTAAAGTTTCCTACTTCTGTATGAGAAAAAAGTAGAAATGAGAATTGTATCATGACTCAAATATATAGGGCTTTTATCTGAACTAGTGGCTCTTGATTTTAAAAAATTTAAGTATCCTATTCATTAGCCTACTCTCATATTCTATGTAGCATTTAATATCCTAAGTAGTTTCAAAAGTCAGAAAAATTTTTTTATGGTTTTATCACCCAAGTATGAGTCCCTATAGACACCACAGTGTAGTTTTACCTATAAAAAAAGAAAAGATATCTTCTAAGTCTCTTTTAATCTATACGTTTTCCCTCCAATAATTAATTTGTTGAAGAACCTGGGTTGCTTGACCTGTAGAATTTTCCACAGACTGGATTTTGTTTAAGGTGCAATTTAACATGATCCTGTCTTCTGTATTCCCTGAAAACCAGAGGTGGATCCAGACACCTGCTCAAACTCAGGTTTAGTCTCTCTGGCAAAACTTTAGGTGGTGTTGTGTTCTCTCATCAGAAGGCACACGGTATCTGGTTATCTCTCTTTTTATGATGTTATCAATTGCATTGATGTACAATGTCTAAATCCATTAATTTACTGGAAGTTGTAGAAGATGATAATTCTATTATTTTTCATTTATTATTTGACATATCTTATAAAGAGATGTTTCCCCTCATCTACAATTTGGTTACCCAAAGTACAGT